GAGGCCTTCGAGCCGCTTGGCAGCCTCTGCTAGGACCCCCAGCTCAGCCCTGGCCTGTCGGGGCGCAGCGGGGAGGGGCCTCCTTGGCGCCTGCCCGGGCAGGGGCCGCGGCGAAGGGGCAGGGGGAGAGCCGGCGCTGGGTGGGCACTGCCTGGTGTTCGGCTGGACCGGGGAGCCCCGTTCCCAGGGGCCGTGCCTCTAGGACAGCCGTACCTTGATGCCTGTGGGGCAGAGACGGGTTCAGGGCATGCGGGGCAGCTGGGCAGGCCCCCAGGATCCCTTTGCAACCTGGAGGCCCATGGGTGCCAGTGAGGCGTTGGGAGGCCGTGGCCATCCCAGGTCCTCTGCCCTGCACCAGCGAGGGCACCGATTTGTCTCATTCAATTCCCGTGGGCCAGGGAAGGCGCCTGGCCGAGCTTCGGCGACACGGGAGCCCCTGCCTGGGCAGTGGAGCGTGCCGGTGCCGGTGCCGGTGCCCTGCTCGGAGCTTGGGAATCCCTCAATCTCCCAGCACGGCCGGACCCCAGCACGGCTGCCCCTCGCTCCCAGGCCGGAGCAGGCTGCAGGGGACAGGGCTCAGCCGTGCTGCCGCAGAGCCTGGCTGGGCACGGGCCCGGGCTGCGTGCGGGGCAGGAGCGTGGAGAAGGGGCAGGCTGCGGGGGCTGAAGGGACATGGGCTGGGGCGGAGGGGTGGAAGCAGACAGGGCTGCGCGTGGGCGGCGGGGGATCCCAGGCGAGCGGAGGCGTCTCTCAGTTCCCCTTTCTGAGGCACTGACTGTGACCCAGGGTCCCATCCTGCCCTGGGCCCCGTCAGGCAGTTCCCTCCCTGAGGGCAGAGCCCCGGCCCCACAGAACCGCCCATGGACCCCGGCAAGGGCACACGCTGCCCCGGACCCCGGTGCCTGGCGGGGCTGAGCCCCAGGGCAGGGGCAGCTGCAGGGGCATCTGCTGCACTGCCAGCCCAGGAGGGTTGTTTGCTTGCCGACAACCCCTGCTGTACTGCTGGGGGAGCCTGGCCCAGCTTCACCCCGGGGAAGGGGCACCCCGGATCCCCCTGCCAGGCGGGGGCCCAGCACTGCCGCCAGGGGAGGAGGCTGAGCCCTGAGCCACCACCTGGGCTCCCAGCCCTGCCCCTGCCCTGGCTGCCTGCTCAGGCGGGGCAGACACGGGTGGGCCCTGCCTTCGCCAGCTGCTAGGAGATGTGGTCAGGGCGCTGCCATGCGCCTGCCGCAGCAGAACCGCTGGGATCCCACTTCAGGGCGGCGCGGGGGCGGCAGAGCTCCGGTCCCGGTGGTTGTGGTTACGTGGGCAGGGTGCGAGCGAGCGCAGGGTGCACGGCCCGTGCCAGGCGGCACCGTGCAGGGGAGGGGAGCCAGGTCTGGGGCAGGTGGGAGCCAGGCCCGCGGTGGCTGAGCTCTGTGCTCTGCTCGGTTCCAGCACTTGGCCGCTGGGACGGACATCCAATGCAGTGAGAGGCAGTACGTGCATGAGGGCAGGTGCTGCTACCGCTGCGCCCCAGGTACGGAGCAGATCCCTTCCCTGCCCCTCCCTGCGCCAGAGCCTGGGCCCAGAGGGGACCACCTCGGCTACCTTGGCCCCCAGGGCCGGGACCTGGGCTTGGTGCTGCCTGCAGAGCCGGCCGGTCTAGCCCCCTGTGCCCAGTGGCACCTCCTTGGGTGCTGGGGGCATGGCAGGTGCTGGGCTCCATGGGCAGCTGCACCAGGCAGGAAGCAAACGCGGGTGCTGTGTGTTGCAGGACAGAAGGTGACGGCTGCATGCAGCGAGGCGTCGGGACTGTCCACCTGTGCCCACTGCGAGGTGGGGTCCTTCCAGGCCCACTGGACCAAGGAGAATCACTGCGTGCCCCACAGATACTGCGACCCCAGTAGGTGCCGGCACAGGGCTGTCTGCCAGGCAGGCAGCAGTCACGCAGCCCTGCCCATGCTCCAGCAGCCCCTGCCACGGGAGGGGCCTGGCCGTGGCTGGCTCCGTGGCCCACCTTTCCCTCCCTCCCTTCCTTTGGCAGACGTTGGCCTGGTGGTAAAGACGCCGGGGAGTGAGAAAGAGGATGTCACATGTGGCTGCCAGGTGGGCATGCACTGCACCAGCGCCCAGTGCCAGACCTGCAAGCTGAACCCCCGCTGCGAGCCAGGCTTCGGGGTTGTGCCAAGAGGTGAGTGCGGCCTGGCACTTGCAACCCGAGAGCTCACAGGGCCATGCTGCCCTGCACAACCCTGGTTCCCCACCGCCAGGTCACAGCAGCCCCAGCAAGGGCAGGCGAACAGGCCATCGGCTCCGAAGCACAGAGCGGGTGCAGGGACCTCCCAGGGGGCGCAGCCGGCCCCGCTCAGGCAGGCATGCATGCTGCACCTGCTCTGGGGGAGCCTGGCAGACAGGTCGGGGTGTCCTTGTTCGTGCCCCACACCTTCTCCCGCCCCCGCCTGCCTGACGCTCACCCCTGCGGTCGTCTCGGCTCTGTTCCAGCCCAGGAGGATGCGCCCCCCACGTGCCAGCCCTGCCCGGACGGCAGCTTCTCCAATGTCACCTCTGACAGCAAGCCATGCCAGCCCTGGAGCAGGTACTGCAGGGTGGGGGTGCGGCGCTGGGAGGTCAGCCAGGGAGGGGAGCAGTGGCTGTGAGCGAGGGAGCCCGGAGACACTTGCCGGCAGGGACACACCTGGCAAAACCCTGGCTTTCCCTCCATGGTCTGTGGGGTCTGAGCTCATGAAGCCATGTCCATGCCCACTGCAGATGCGAGGAGAAGGGGCTGGTGAAGAAGGAGAATGGGACCCGGAGCTCCGACGTGGTGTGTGGTGAGTGCCAAGACCCTGGGCACCATGCTGCGGGTGCAGCAGGACACAGCTGGGCCAGGGGACCCCCTCGGCTCACTGGCCTGCTGCTGGGGCCCCTACCCCAGCCTGATCCAGCCCGTCAGGCGGCTCCCCCATCCCCGCCAGGGCAGCTGTGGCTCTCCAGCCCCTGGGCAGCCTGGGCAGCTGCTGCAGGTTCCGCCCCTGAGGTGGCTGCAGTTGGCAGTGCCCGTGCAAGCAGTCAGCAAGGCCTGCCTGGCGCCAGGGGCTGCACGGACAAGGCCACAGGGTGTGGTGGATAGGGCCAGGTGTATCGCACTGGCTTGGCATCTGCCTGAGGGTAGACAGGCCCCCAGCTGAGGGCACGGCAGGGGCACGTGGGCGGCACAGCGCGGGGCTGAGCGGCTGACCACAACTCTTTGCAGAGCCACAACGCAGCAGCCCCAGCCACCCCTTGGTCTTGGTGCTGTTCTCCATCCTGGCTGGCATAGCCATCTGCGCTCTGGGGCTCTTCTTGTGTTTGCATCGCAGAGGTAGGTGCAGGAGAGGGGGGCTGGCAGAGAGCTGCGTCGGGCTGTGCCCATGTGGGGAGTCTGGGCTGGGGCCGGCCCGGGGCATGCTTAAGCGCTTGCTCACTCCCTCGCTTTGTGCTCCTGTCTAGGTTTCCAGAGACAGCTGCAGAAGCAGGGACATCCTCAAGTCCCCCTGGATCGAGAGGTGTGGAGCAGACTGGGGTGCTGCTGGGGAGATGTGCTGCCAATGAAGGGGTGTGGGAGGTCCCTGCACCCTGATGCCCAGCTTGGCAGGGAGAGTAGGCACAGGGCAGGGCGCTTTCAGGGGGAAGGTGCAGCCCCGAGGGGCACCCGCTCCATGAGGGCTTGTGCAGGATGGCAGGGGCAGGGGCATGAGTGTCCCCGTGCTGGGGAAGGGTCCTCCACGAGGCTGCAGGTCACGGGTGCCCGGGGGCTGCTGTCGGTACACGGACGGGGCAGAGATGCCAGGGCCTGCGAGGATAGTGTTACTCCCCAGGGCTGGGCAGGGGGGCAGCAGGAGCCCAAGGGAAGGCCTTGGGGGGCTGGGGCCTGGGTCTCCCCCAGCGCCAGGTGCCCTTGGTGCTCAGCACAGTCCTGACCCCCTGCCTGTGCCGCTCAGGATACCATGCTGCTGAATATTGTGAAGACAGAGCCACGCCCAGAGCCATCCGAGGAGGATGAGATGCCGAGCGAGCAGACCATCCCCGTGCAGGAGACCATGGTGGGCAGGCAGCCTGTAGCCCAGGAGGATGGCAAGGAGAGCCACGTCTCCGAGCAGGAGAGGCCGTGAGGTGGCGTGGGGCACCCACACCAGGGCCCACTGCCCCGCACGGATGGAAGCCAGGCCCAGCGCCCGCCGTGCCGCCAGGCAGCCCAGGGCACGGGCACAGCCTGCACCCGTCGCCTACAAGCACGAGAGGTGGTGGATCCCACATGGCCAAGGGTGACGTGGCACGGCTGCACGAGGCTGCAGGTCACGGGTGCCCGCGGGCTGCTGTCGGTGCACGGACGGGGCAGAGATGCCAGGGCCTGCGAGGACAGTGGGGGACTGATTGCCCGCGGCAGGACCCCCCCAAGGTGGAAGCAGGAAATGGAGGCATTTTGGGACTCCATGCTGAATCTGCCCGTTGGGCAATAAAGGTCTGGAGGCTGCGCCCACGGTGCCTCCTGGCACACACGGTGCTCCGCTCTCATCACTCTGGGGCTCTGAGCTTGGGGCTGGGTCCGGCTGTGTCCCCCCTGGCATGGGCGCTGGGGACGCCCCGGGCCTGCTCTTGCCCTCGCACTCACGCTGCGATTCCCGGATGCGGGGGCCTGCACCGTGCACGCCCAGCGGGGACGGCCCCTGCCCCAGCCCCGCAGTCCAGGCGCTGGAGAGCCCCCGTCCCCGGCGTGGGCGGGGGG